GGTCTAGTCCTGGTCTCAGGCTGGGTCCAGGGTGGTTTAACCTGGTCTAGTCTGACGTCAGACCTGGTTGGTCTGGTTTGTTGCATTCCTTCCTGCTGACGTCTAGATGTTGACGTTAGCTTAGCAGCATGCTAACAGACACAGGGATGTATTATGGGATGTGCTGCTGATGCCAGCTGCAGGTCGGACCGGAACTTTCCAACTGAAGCATGGGGGGGGGGCGACTCGGACTGAACCAAGTCATTTAGAATCCAGAGCTTCGGGCTGCAGTTCTCCTTCCAGGACGTTTTAAAGGAACCTCTTCATGTTTATGCTGTGAGTTGATCGTGTTCCGGTCCGATCTGAGCCTCAGTGTTTAGATCCGCCCCGGTTCTGCGCTGTAGGGTTTCACCCCTCGTGTTGGACTCCAGAGTCCGACCTCAACAAGAACTTTAGTTCATGAGGTTGTTGTTTTTAACGTGGCAGAACTTTGGCTCAGCAGCTGAGAGAAGACGACTGATTGGACGTTTCTCTCTTTGTCGTTTGTTTTGAGAAGAAGACGTCAGAAGACCATCAGGACGATGGAGGAGCTCAGTGTGTCGGCTGTGAGAATGTGGAGCTGCAGCGACAGGCAGCGGCCACAGGAGGGCAGCAAACACAGCAGCGACTGAGCTGGAGTTATCTGAGGAGGAGGCGGGGGGGGAGGTCATGGGACTCTGTTTGCTCGTCCTGGACCATGTGAGTCACATGAGACGAGGAAGATCCAGAATGTTCAGAGCAGGAAGATGGAGGACGTGTGGCGGAGCGTGAGGAGCTGCTGCCGCGGCGACGAGGAGGACGAGGAGGAGGAGGAGGCGAAGATGGAGGAGGAGGAGGAGGAGGTCTTCAGGAAGAGCTGCAGCTCCACGTCCCTCCCACCTGCTCAGGTAACGGTCCAGACGTTGGCAGCTGGTTGAGGCGCCGCCCTGCTGGACACCGGCCGGCACAGCCGCCGGTTTTAAGGTGGAATGATTTCCTGTGATCTACTTTAGATTTATTTTTTAAAGGGCCGCCCGTGTTTGGTCGGTTTTATGCGTCACAGTGTTTGTTTGTTTTTGTCCTGATTGGCCGGTCGCACAGCGAGGCCCGGATCCACTGTCCTAAAGCCCAGCCGAGGTTTGACTTTCCAGAGTCTGTCAGCTGGTTCTATGCACCCATCATGAGAGGATTTGTTAAGGTGGTATTGAAAGTTAAAGGTGTTTCAGATTATTTGAGTATTTAAGGCGGTATTAGTGTTCTGAGTGTTTGAAGAGTTTAAGGTGGTGTCAAAGTTTTAAGGTGGTATTACTGTCTCTGTGCCCCAGCTGGACCGGTCCCCGTCGTCCCCGTCCGGGTCCAGGTCTCACTGGTTCCACACTCTGCAGGTCCGGAGGCTCCAGGTCCAGCGAGGACGCAGCAACAGCGACCCGCTGAGGGCGGCGAGCTGCCAGGACGTCTTCACCTGGGTCAGCTGACACGTCACATGATCCGTGAGGTCTTCGCGTGACCTGTCAGCTGACCTGACGTGTGTTCTGCTCAGAAACCGGGCCTGCAGTTCGGCGCCGCTCAGTCCTACCTGAGTCTGGAGAAGCTGGGAGAAGGAGCGTTCGCTTCCGTGTACAAAGGAATCAGCAGGTCAGAACCACGGACCGGTCGATCAGCACCTGATCAATACCTGATCGATACCTTACCGATCAGCTGCCAGATCATCACCTGACCAGTAACCGATCGATAACAGATCAATCATATAGCAGAAACAGGGATCAATAAGATTGATTCATATTTATTATTATTTATGGAGCTTTTCAGAGACGAACTTTTAAAACATTTAAATCGTGTTTGTCCCTGAACCTGTCTTTGTTTTGTTTATGTTGTTGTTGTTGATGTTGTTTATGTTTATGTTGTTGTTGTTGTTTTTCTGCGTCCTGCCGTCGGCCGTGTGGAGGATCAACGGGCAGCTCGTGGCTCTGAAGGTGATCCGCATGAAGACGGAGGAGGGCGTCCCGTTCACCGCCATCAGAGAGGGTGACCAATCAGATCACTGCTGCTCCATGCACCTGCAGTGACATCACAGCCTGCACTCACACCTGTGTGTGTGTGTGTGTGTGTGTGTGTGTGTGTGTGTGTGTGTGTGTGTGTGTGCAGCGTCTCTGCTCAAACGTCTGAAACACGCCAACGTCGTCCTGCTGCACGACATCGTTCACACCAGAGAGACGCTGACCTTCGTCTTTGAATATGTGGTGAGAAACAACAACAACAATAAACAACAACAATAAACAACAACAACAACAAACACACACTGAACCAGGACCAGAACCCAGCAGCTCATCGAGAGACAATCTTATTTGAAGTTTAACAGATATGGATCCACTAACCACTCTGTTGGAGCCCAATAGAACCTGTTAGAACCCGGTAGAACCCGGTAGAACCTGTTAGAACCTGCTAGAACCCGGTAGAACCTGTTAGAACC